CCGCTCCAGTGGTTGGGCTAAACTGTGCCGTATCTGGCAAACACAAATATGCATCAGAAAGTAAAGAAATAGCTCACATTGTGTTACGTGGCTAGATCCTTAAACTTCACTAGAACATAAGCTCCATGAGGGCAGGGACTTCTACTGTTTTTCACGGCCATATAGCCGGTCTAGGAACAGTGCCTGGCACACAGCATACACTTAGTGTACATTTGCTGAATGAAGAAAAAGAGAAAATAATAGAGAAAAATAAAACATGGACATATAGCAAAAATAATAAAAATGGAAACATGAGCATAAAAGTAGATGTTGTTTTGTAGAAAGTTCAATAGAGTCTGTGGGCAAGAATTATTTATATTCCTGGTTCAAAGGGGTTTCTAGACAAGTCATAACTTTTTTATGCTTTGGTTTTTCAGTCTATAAAATATCTCTCCCTTCATGCTTTATAAGGACATTATGAGGTGCTATTAGAAGGAAAAGGGAAAGAGGAAGAATAAAATAGTAAGGTTTCGGACATCATGATTCTCTAGAAATGCAGAAATGCCGATGTGTACAAGCATGTAAAAGAGTCTGCAGAGCTACTGGCATCAAGGAAAAGAAGAGGGAGAGATAGAGAAGAGGGACAAAAAAGCATGAATTAACTGTCCCAATAAGAAACTGGTATATTGTTCATTGGCTGGAGACTTTTTTTTGTTATTTGTGTGTGTAATATGGTGAATACCATTCAGTATTAAGATGCAATAAATAAAGTTAGATGTAAAAAGACAGGTGAAGAGGCTTTGATATCTTAGAATGCCATGAATAGTAACATACAAAGCCAAAATGACATGATTAGAAAAATAAGAAAGATTCGAGATATAATTGGGAAGGTGGGAAGGAAGAGGATAGAAGAAAACCAATCTGGGTACCACAAAGGAATAGGGAGGAAAAAATCAAAGTGGGATGTACAGGAAAGAGGTGGGCCACAGAGCCACCTGCTTTTTATTAGGGGAGAGCTCACCCTAGGCAACCCAAAGCTGTTTTCAAAGCAAGCTGAACAGTGGATGGATGATCAAATGAAACGGGAATGGACCACCACTACTGAAAATTTAATAACAGCAAAACAGGAAGGCGAGAAGAAAACTTAATTTGAGTGATGTGAACTATCCATGCTTGACTGGTGGTCCCACTCGAAGAACTCCCCTAATTGGCAATCAGATGTCACTTAAACACCCAGAGCTAGCCTCCAGCTTTAACCTCTAGAACAGGAAAAGAGAACAGGAAAAGACAGCTCTGTGTGTGTGTCTGTGTGTGTGTGTTTGAATTATGGGAGACAGGACATTACTCTGTTTTCTACCACTTTGGATTTCACTAAATTTTTCAGTAAAAAGTGTTTTACTAAATATTTCAGAGCCTGGATTTTCTCATCAGCAAATCTGTAAAATTATTTGATTCAAACAGAGGATATTTCTGTTCCTTCCAGTTTTAAATGTCTTAGGCTTTAAACAAGTATGGTTGAAGTAGGGAGAAGTTATTTAGAATCACTGTTCTGAAATACTAGAATAACTAGCTCTGAGGAACGAGAAGAAGGGTCCATTAGATTAAAATGAATGCCATTTTTAATTTGAAGGGAAGAAATCCTTTGGTATATTCAATTCTTCAGTTTGATCTTCTGCAGATGGTAGTGATTCATATTGTCACTGTGGTAACCATGGTTTGTCATGCAAGCCAATAAAAAGACTTAAGACAAAGCAAAACAAATTTGAACTAAGATGAAAATACCAATACATCTTTGTATCAAAGAGTCTGTTGTCAAGCAGGGTCTCCCATCCAGAAAACATTTTCTTTCAAGATGGTACCACAGCTCCCTGGCTACAATCTAATGAGTCAGCTCTTTTTATGGTAATCTAAGTTCTCTCAATCTACCAAAAGTCAGTACTTTCCATGTGAATAGAGGGTAGAAAAAATTTTAAAGCCCATGCAAAGAAAGCAAATTAATGTTTCAAGTATTATGTGACTTGAGGAAAAATAAAAACTTAATTAGTATGGCAATATAATTGTTGTGGTAGTGGGAAACCACTAAGCATGCATACAAAAAAAATAGACATATATTTTTTATTCTAATCCTATATTAGATTTCTTAAGATCTATATGTATGTATAGGTTAACATGGTAAAAACACAAAACTCTACTACTTTATGAAAGAAAGACCCGTTTTAGAAAACCTGACATAGCCACTATACCCCTAGGCAATTTGAAATACTATATTTTGCCTTTTACTATAATAAAGACAAAGAATGTTGTAATTTGACAAGAGTCAGTAAGGAAGGGAGTACTTCTAGCATGCAGGAAATAAAACCCTAATACCAGCAGGTAGATTGGTTTGGGGAGTAGCACAGCAGACACAATTCCTGGGACTGTCTCTCTTCCACTCTCTCAGGCTCCAGGATAAAGAGGAATCAATTAGCCCTCAACAGACTATGACCTTGAAGGCTACAGACCTGTGCATAATATGCTGAATATGCTGAGACTGAAAGAAAATGGAAAAGGGAGATTCAAGTCCTGAAACCACTGAAGAACATGTTTCAGATATGACAATGTCGTTTTAAAATATAAGCCATGACAGCTTAGTTCATGTCAGAAACATGCGTGATGAAAGGAAAGCCCCAGTTCTTTCTGTGACTAAAGAATACTTTCCTGGTTGAATAGAATGAAAGTGATTATAAAATGACAATCCCATCCTATGCTTTTTTTTTCTGCTTTATTTAATCGTTAAACATTTTCAAACAACAAAAACAATCACCTACAAGTATCTGAAACAAAGCTGCCTGGATCAATCCCTTTCCCCCGCAAAAAGACTCAATTTTTAGGATATTGTGTTGATTTTTGCTTTTAGGCGCAGATTTTTTAGTCCAAAAAATTTAACACAGTTACCCTGGAAAACCCTATAAGCTTTAAAGTGTTAACCGACTGTCTACTCCTAACTTTTCAGGACAAAACTATTTCCCGGACTGCTTTTCCAGGCTTATCTCCAATGCACTTCAAAATGCTGCAGCTGTGCCTCTGGCCAGAACTGGCCACTGTGATGCTCTTAGGCAGCAGTAAATCTCTTCCACTTACTGCAAATGCCACAAAATCAATACTCTGGCTTGAAAAAAAGAAAGGAAAAAAAACTACATGGAATGTATCATCTATTAAAACACTTAATAGAAACATTTACCTTCAAAAATAATTTCTCAAAACTTCATAACAGACTTTGACATGGTCCTAGATCATGGATCCTGTTTCTTTATCTGCTTGATTTCCTCAGATGACAAAATTACAGAATCTAGCTGAAGAGTTTTCTGAAAGGGTCCTCTTTCTTTTCGTGGGCAACTAAGCCTCTTCATGCACATTTTGATTTAAGACCTAAGTTTAAAATGATAAAGACAAAGAAGCAACCTTGTCTTTCTCCATGGTGGGCTTTGCTTCTCTTTGCAGGCTCTCTACCTGCTTTTTACAGTCTGTCATTTCATCTGGGTACTATCTCCCAGGCACTTTGCAGTTGGAAAGAAGCAGCAGTTCAGTGATGTCGGTCAGACCTTTCATGATGCTGCAGGGAGTTGGTACAGACACAAAGCAGTGTCTGTGTAGAGGAGGTTTGCCCTAATCACACCTGAAAACAAGCCTCTTTTTTTTTCATCTTTGCCAGTGACACGATCTTGAATCGCAAGAACAGATCAAGTGTTGCTGTGTTTCTGTACCTCACTGCTCCACTTTATACTAAGCACACTGCCTGGAAAAAGGTAGTTTCTATTCTCCAACCCATCTAGAGGGAAAGCAGAAGGGCTGAGCATCTCACCAGAGTACCTTACTGTACCTCTTTTAACTCTGAGATTTTACACATGTTAGTAAGAACCAAATTCTCTGATCTTTTACTTTTACCTAGTAAGTAAATATTCACCAATGGTAACAAAGCATAGAAGACAGAACAAAAATAAACTAGAAACATTTTTCAGAAAGCTACAGAAGACTCCTCCCGTCTGTAGGGAACTTTAGAACAATCTGACTAGTCATGATTTCATCATCGCCCACTTTGCATTATGACGCTATTGCAACGATCCACTGCAAACAGCAATATATTGTTCTGTGTTGTTTTAAGAGCATGGTCTCCCCCCACTCATGTGCTATTAAACTGGGCTGCTGCAATCTGACGGGTTAAAATGACACGTCTTATAAAAAGCAATGTACTTCACTAATGGGTCGTGTACTTTTAAATGACTGCCCAGGAAGCTATTTAAACATTTGATTATAGAAGACAACACTAATTTGGGAAAATCCCTTCATTCAGAATTGTAGCATTTCCTGAACAAAATAAAGCTGCCCCTAATAAGTGCTCAGTAATCAAAACTATAATCTGGGCTGATACAGCAACAGCCTCGAGCTAGTGAGAGGTGAGCGCTGTAAGTGTCTTAAGACTTGCTGCAATACCAGGAAGAACCAATTAAAATACAAAGGTGGGAGAAGTGGTTAGGGAACAGGAGGAAGAGAGAGATGACAGGTGGCTTCTAGTTGCTGGGAGAGACAGGGTAACAGAAAGGTGATAGGAATTCTACAATGGGAGAAAGAAAGACACAAAATAATACTCATTGGCATAGGGAATTCACATTTATATATAAAGAATAGTCTGAGGTTTTCACTTTAATTGTAAAAAGTGTTAGAAATAAATTGAATGTAACTTAAATTCAAGCATGACTTGCAGACGCTGAAGTTTTGGATCCCCAACCCCAGATTTAACAATGCGGCTAGAGGCAGCTGCGTTGGAGCACTGGCTCATCCCAGGAGTTTATGAGATCTTTTCCCTCGTCCCTTCAATGCCACCCCAAGCATCGCAGTCACATGACCTGCTTAGACAAAACCATGCAAAGAAGAAAGAGAAAGGCGAGGAGAAGGGGAAGCAGCTACATGCTCCAGAGAGCCCGTCGGGGACCCCCAGCCCACCCGTTCCTTTACTCATCATCATCACATCCGTTGCTACTTACAAAGTTTAGGAGCAGTTTGCAGATTAGTTTCTGTTGTTTGTGGCTGAGTTGCTGACTTGGGTGTTCTCACCTCAGCGTTCCGCGTGGATGAAGGGAAGGATGGTGCAGTGGAAGGCAGGAAAGAAACAGCAAAATTACGATTCTTCAGGGTTGGTGCGGCTGAAGGTTTGGAGGATGTGACAGCATTGTCAACTTCCCTGGTAACTTGAACCTCGGCTTCAGATTGAGCCCTGGAGACAGGTGAGGTGTATGCCTCGGACGATACTCGCACAGCTGAGACAGCAGTTGGATCCAGAGAAATAACAGGGTCCTGGCCTAACCCCCCAGGGTCAAGGTGAGTTGGAGAGTCATACTCAAATATCTTGTCCACAAACACCCACTTGAGGCCGGCAATGCAGAGGCAGAGGCTGACCAGGCAAGCCAGAATGGGCACAATGCAGATCTTCTCCGAGTTGAGGCAACCTCTCAGGCGCTCGGCTTCCAGGCACACGCAGCAGGGGATGGCCAGGCCCACCAGTCCAGGGGTCCCCCCATCTTCAGTCTGGGTCTCTGGCATGTCTTCTGCGGCCGGAAGCCCGTCGAGAGATGGGTCTGCACTCAGCTGAGTGGAGGGGCTGGAGGACCTCTCCGCAGCTACCTCAGACATGTCTGGGGAATAAATCTCCATCGGCTCACCTCCAGAAGGCCTGGCCTCTGTCACCGTCCACTACCATGCACAGCCACCCCCAACCAAATGATACAGCATCTTACAGGGGGAAATCGATAAGTCGTCCAAGTCCAAGGCCATTATCCAAAGCAAGAAGAGTTCAGAGGGAAGCAAGGAGGGGAAAAAGCTCCTAGCAACTAAAAAAATAAAATTGTATCTTAATAATTCTTGAGCTGCTGTTTCTGGGCCACTTTTCTAGTTCTTTGCAATGCTCCTCCAAACCATCCCAGCTCCTCAAGAGGGCAGGGGCCCAAAGAGAAGCCGAGCTGACGGCTGGTGCATTAAGTAAACCAGTAGCCCAAAGTGAAAGGCATGTTCCTCACCTCGAGCATCTGAAGCTGGTGTCTGCCGAGACGGAGAAAACAACTGTCATGCAGGAGAAGTAAAAGCAAAATCAGGACCAGCGGCGGCGGCGGCAGCAGCGGCGGCGGCGGCAGCAGCGGCAGCAGCGACAGTAGCAACAGCATCCTGTCGTGTGAGCGCGACGGCCGAAAGGGGCTGAATCATGACAGAGCAGCAGGTGCCTGCCCTGCGAGCATCGCTGCAGACGCTGTCCTCAGAGGGCTCCGGGGAAGCGGCGCCCGGGGAGGGGCGGCGACTCCTCCCCGCCCTGCTCCACCCCCACCGGCCACTCCTCTTTGTCCTCCTGGGGCGCGCTCACTTTCTTCCCCGGCGTCGTCCCCGCTTCTAGTCCCTTTCTCTCTCTCCTCCTCCTCATCCAAGCATGATCTGTCTCTGTCTCTGTCTCTGTCTCTCCCCCACCCCCACCCCCA